CTTAATCCTGAAGCTGGAAATGCTTTAATTTGGAAAGAACATAAAATGGCTTGTGGTTGCTATGCCTACAGTAACGGCACACTTCCTGATGGGCCTGTCAGAAAGGAAACTGTTGGCAACTCACAGAAACTCAGACCTCCAGGGGCCACTAAAAGCCTTCACCCCTGACTTGGCCAAGCAGAGCCCCCGGCCCGGGGAGAGTCCTTCAGCTGTGTGGCAGCCTGGCAGCCCGCACCGAGTCACACCGACGCAGGCTGCTTGGTCTGCCCCCCAGAGGGTTTTAGGGAGAACATGCGGACAGAGGCAGACTGGCAGACCCTTTAGGAGACCGGCTTTAGGTGACACCTACACTAAACCCCAGTGTATTCGCTTGCTGGGCCTGCCATAACACAGGCACCCAGCCGGCGTGGCTCAGTGGTTGAGCATTGACCTATGAACCAGGGTTCGATGCCCGGTCAGGGCATGTCTGAGTTTCAGGCTCGATCCCCAGTGTGGGGTGTGCAGGAGGCAGCCGATCAATGATTCTCCCTCATCATGGATGTGTGTGTGTCTCTCTCTCCCTCTCTTCTTTTCTGAAATCAATAAACAATAAATAAAGTCCCACAGGCTGGGGAGCTCGGCAGAATTGTTTCCTGACAGCTCCGCAGGCTGGGAGGGAGTTCGAGAGCAAGGTGTCCGCAGGGCTGGCTTCTCCCGCGGCCTCTCTCCCAGGCTTGCAGCAGCCACCTCCCTGTGTCCTCTCGCTGTGGCCTTTCTCACACGGACCCCGGTCAGACCGGATCAGGGCCCACCCTAACAGCCTCACTTTCATGTGATCATCTCTTCAAAGACCCCCTCTCCAAATGGAGTCACATATGGGGGGACACAGTTCAGCCTGTACCACCCACCCGGCCAGTCCTCGGGGAATGACTGGCCGAGCCCTCAGCATCCACCTCTGTGTGTGAGCCAGCATGTCAGCCAGCACACGCCATGGCGCTGCGTGGGCTGGAGTCTTGGCCCCACAGCACCACCTGCAAGGCCGTGGGTTCCATGTTCTCATCCACTTTTGAGATGTGTGACCTGTTCCATTCACCCACGTTGGCCTGAGTCCCCAGCCGACACCTCAGTGCTGCGTCCAGTGCACAGGGCGTCCTGAGATGACAGCGGCCTCGTCCGATGGAACAGCCAGTACGGAGGGGCCTGCGGATGCGGAAGAACGAGGACGGCGTGACTGAGGTGGCCCTCCGGCGTGCACAGGCCCAGTGGCTCTCTGGCCTTGGAGAGGACAGAGTGACATAATCATGGGGGGTGGCGGGGGGCAGGAGGAAGGTCGGTGGTGGGAGAGGAGCCATCAGACTTCCTGTTGGTGTGGAAGTTTGCAGTAAAGTAGGACACAGAGCCAGCGGGGGAGGAGGCGTAGGATCGTCTTCCAGGAAAGTGGGAAACTGAATGCACACGAGGTGGAGCAGGTGCGGGGTTGCCACGGGGACTGCGCTGCCCTAGAAACTAGCCTCCAGGAGCGAAGCACATCTCCAGCCACGCAGACCGCTCACCCCGGATGGGGGGAGGGGGGGGCGGGGGCTGCCGGGCAAGGAGGCAGTGGGAGAAGGGGCTGTGGGAGGAGTGAGCTTAGGACCGAGCACGACAGCCAGCAGGTCGGTGGAGGGGACTGCACTGTGGCTCCTAGTGGGGGCGCAGGTGGCTGTGATCAGGGCACTATCCGGAGGGAGCCCAGAGCGCAGGGTGTTCCGGAGGGGGCTGCCCAGCCCTGAGGCTGTGAGGTGAGGACAGGGATGCCTGGCAGACTACAGGCTGTGGCGGCTGGGTGCCTGGTGAAACCACAGAGAGAAGTTAATAAAAATAAAGCATGTATAGCCCTGGCCAGTTTGGCTCAGTGGATGGAGCATTGGCTTGAGGACTGAAGGGTCCCGGGTTCGATTCCGGTCAAGGGCATGTACCTTGGTTGCGGGCACATCCCCAGTCGAGGGTGTACAGGAGGCAGCTGATCGATGTTTCTAACTCTCTGTAAAAAAATCAATAAAATATATTTTTTTAAAAATAAAACATGTATAGAAAACACTAGGGCATTACATAAAATAAGTATGTTTTAAATCATGAAACTATACTAGATCATAATGAAAAAAATATTTTTTACTGTTTTTTTAAAAATACATCTTTATTGATTTTAGAGAGAGGAAGGGAGAGGGATAGAGAGAAACATCAATCAGCCGCCTCCTGCACAGCCCCCACAGGGGATCGAGCCTGCAACCGGGCATGTGCCCTGACTGGCAATCAAACCAGCAACCTGTTGGTGCATGGGATGACACTCAACCAACTGAGTGACACGGTCCAAGGCTTTTATAAAAAAATATTTTTCTTATTGATTTCAGAGAGAAAGGGAGAGGGAGAGAGAGATTAAAGCATCAATGATGAGAATCATTGATTGGCTGCCTCCTGCACGCCCCCTACTGGGGATTGAGCCTGCAACCGGGCGTGTGCTCTTGACTGGAATCGAACTGGGGACGCTTCGGTCCACAGGCCGATGCTCTATCCACTGAGCCAAACTGGCTAGGGCCTTTTTTTATTTTTATTTTTTTACTGTTTTTTATTGTGGTAAAACACAATAACATAAAATTTGTCATTTAATCCATTTAACAAATATATTTTATTGATTTTAGAGAGGGGGAAAGGGAGAGAGAGGGAGAGAGGAACATTGATTCGCTGCCTTCCATAAGCTCCCCTAACGACCCGGGATCTAACCAGCAACTTAGGTATGTGCCCTAACCAGGAACTGAACAGGCAACCCTTCAGGGCACGGGATGACTCTCCAACCGACCGAGCCCCGCCCCTCGGGGCTCTTTTAACCATTTTTAAGTGTATAATAGAGTAGCATTAACTACATTCACATTGCTGTGCAGCCATCACCACTATCTAGTCCCAAAATTATCATTATCCCAAACAGAAACTTCATACCCACAAAATGTATCTTTTACTGTAGTCATAGTTAAAAACATTTGAAAGGCGCTGGTCAGTGGTCAGGAGGGGGTTCATATCGGTGGCCATGCAGGGGACAAGACCCTGGCAGGACAGGGGCCAGGGGGCTGACAGGCCAGGATGCTGGAAGGTCACCTACAATTCACATACATACTGCAATCACTTACATTTTAAAGGAAAGCCGTGTCTCCAAGAATGAAGCTAGGAACCATAATGCAAAGAACATGGTGCTAAAATTTTCAGAGAATGAAGGGGTCTGCAGAAATAGAGCAGAAATAATTGAAGTGCCCAACCACCACACACAGATGTGTAGGTAGGTATATGGTAAGTTTAATATTGTGCAGCCACTAAAAATATAAAAAAAAACTGCAATAACGGAAAAATTCCCCTTCAAAAAGCAGAATACAAAAGTATGTAAATTTTGGCTCATATCAGAATTATAATTTGCTTTTAACAAAGGAATAGCTGAGCCCAGCCCATGTGGTCCAGTGGTTGAGTGCAGACCTATGAACCAGGAGGTCACAGTTGGATTCCCGGTCAGGGCACAAGGCGGGGTTGCAGGCTCATCCCCAGTAGGGGGCGTGCAGGAGGCAGCTGACCAATCATTCTCTCATTGATGTTTCTATCCCTCTCCCCTTCCTCTCTCTGAAATCAATAAAAATTAAAATTAAAACACACACACAACTAGCTGAGAAAAGATATTTGCAATAGCAAAAACAAGGAAAGCTTAATATTTAAGACAAAGTAATCCTGACAACTCCCAAGGAAAAGGAAACCTAGTTGGAAATTGAAGACCTGAAAGGCTTGTTAATGGAGATGCTAACACATCTCTGGAAAACGCATCTTAACACAATCATGAGTTCCCACTTAGCGGCCAGGTTTGCGGAGGACATCGCTGGAGGAATGGCTACGCTCCCACAAATGTTTAAGAGGCAATATCCACTGCCTTCCACGCAATCAACCCGTGACACCCAAAGACACAGATCTGTACAGTGCATTGCACAAAAGAAACAAGATCTAAAGGTGCTAACATGTATAAAAATGTTATACACATTGTGACCGCAATAGTGTGGGTTTGTGTGTTTTTTAAGTATTATGTAATCTACAAACCAATCTATAGAGAAAGGCTATGGGACCAACAAACTAATGACATGATAGGAGTTGGGGAACAAAGTGTGGACAGCGAGAGAGGGCGGGCTGCCTGGGGGGCCGAGAGCGCTGTCGGGTCCGATTTGGGGGTTCCAGAGCAGCGTTAGGGGCCAGGTGCAGATCCAGAGGTAGAACGGCTTGGAGAGTCCTAGGAGGATGGGGGAGCGCGCAAGACCCCGTACTCTGCGGACAGGGCCCAGGAAAGGTCTGGCCAGGAAAACCCGGCGCCACGCACCGGCCCGCACGCCCCACGTCGACCCGGGAGCTGTGAGCCCATCACGTCCAC